AACTCTTCAGAATAGTCAGCAATAGATCTTGATCCCTGTCTACAAACTGATTATATAAAACTTGTTCAAAATTGATAGGGAAGAAACGTTCCCGCATGAGTTTCTTCATGCGCTCCCAACTTCTAATGGGCTGTTTACCATAGCGATGCCTATTAATTTCCAATTGATCCCACCACGCCGAAGCTCCACCTTTTAGTTTTAATGCTACTAACCTCACTTTCTTGTGTATGGGGTTTAATGCTACTAACCTCACTTTCTTGTGTTTGGGTGTCCCCATGTAACCAAAAAAATTTTCCACATTCTTTACCCAATCTAGAAGGCCTTCGATATCCATTTTACCATTAAAACTAGGTAGATAAATTTTCATTTTGTAGTCATTATTGTCTTGGTTCCTATTTGGGTTAGGATACCTACCAAACCTTTCACCTTCAAAGGCAAGTAGTTCTTCCTCCTCCTCGCTGGACGAATCGATATTGAGCTCATTCCGCCGCCGAAACAAAGGATTCTAGTTCACTTCTTGATTAAAATGCCGCGGTTCTTAGAGGTTCCTTGGACCCCAAACGGATTGTTTGTGGCCTTCTTGGCGGATCTGCTTGACGTTCTTGCTGAAAGAAATTCCTTCGATCCTCCCGCCGTACTTCTTGATCCAATCTTTATTGCTGCCCTATGGCACGTCGGATCGGGGATTGTTCCACACTTAAAGCTTCAAGCTTCTCATGATCTCCAAAATGTGTTTAATCTCTCCGACATCCTGCTGGATGGCTTTCACCTCTCCTTCAACCGACAGCAAGCGTTCGGTTGACGATCGTGGCGAGAGAATGGAGGGTTGCTCCATTTCTTTGTTGACAAGGGAAGAGTCACCGGTGATCGACTTCTTTCCCGCCATTGATTGCCCAGAATTTTGGGTGCTCTGATACCAACTTAATGCACACAAGCACAGTGATTTCTTGAAGAGAATTTTACATAGCCTTTCTTAAAGAGGTCAGCCTCTATTTTTAGAGGCTGGTTGCCAACTAACTACACGGTAGAACTAGTTACTGTGAAGTAACTAACAACTAACTAAACAAATAAGCTTTAAAAGCTAGAACTTAAAGGAAGGTCTTATCATAACAACAGAATACTACGTCAAATTGTTTCTTATCAAAAAAAATATATATATATATATATTACCGAAGAAGAAGAAAAAAAGAAAATAAAAAAGTGTATTGGTGAAGAGAGTAGAACAACTTCTCTGAAAGGCGCTCCAAAAACAAGCGATATGCAAGCTGAGGTGCAGCTCCAACAAATATACCCCCAACAAAATGTACAACAGACTTCGGTTCAGAGTTTTTTGGTTTGAGAACCCATGCTCCCTGAGATTATACAGTGCAGATTAACTTCTTAAGAGTTTGGGAGAAAGGAAAGGAAAAAAAGTGAACAGCTCTATTTCGTAAGATGCTATTAGCTGATATAAAAGAAATGCTGAAAATATGTCATGGCCACAGATTCTTCACTGTGAACCTGATAGAGGCTGCTCTATTATTTAGGTACAAGAGGGAAAATTACAGGTCAAGGGAGTATTTGAGAGCTCCCTATTCTCTCCCACAATTCCTTACATGGAAATACAAGCTAGCAAAAAGATAATCCCCCCTCAAGAGCAACACACATATATATATAACAGCCTTACGCTCTCTGTAACAAACTCTCATACCTCTATAACAAACTCTCTCATTACTCAAAACGTCTTCTAACTAATTAGGGCCCACAGAAATATTCTCTCTTCCCTAATTACCCTTCCTCCTAACGTATTTCTTTATGATCGGAGGTATATCAGAACCTTGATGCAAACTTCAAATTCTGTCATAACAACCATACAATTTTTGCAAATATAGCAGTACAACCAACAAAGGTGAATTCATATAGTGAGAAATTGTTTTGAAAAAATGTCTGGTTGTCCTTCTATGTGAATTACCTACTTGTGTAGTAGGGATCAACTTGTAGATCTATGTGAGTTTCCTTAAAGAGTTAAGATATCAAGTCATGCACTCTATTCTATTTATCTTTTGGCTACTGTTATATTTGGAGAACTTTACCTTATTTGTTCAGTTTTTTGGTTTTCTTTTCATTCAAGGTTGTATCCTTGAACATTTTTCTATCTTGTCATCTATCAATGAAACGTTTATTTTTTGTTTAAAAAGAATTGCAAAAAAATTGCTTTGGTACAGCAAGAGGAAGAATGAAACCAAATAATATCCCAAATTTGATTCACGCTCTTCTCCTTTCTCGAAAGATTTTCTCTATTGCACTGCACTCTAACCAAATATTCCAAGGCACACAAGAAAGACTTTTTGACAAAAATACCTTGCAATTTTTAGACCTCTGACCAATCAGGCCCTGAAGTTCACCAAGTCTCCAGTGCATCTAGGGAATAACCAACCTAAAATAAAAAAGATCAAGGAATCTTGACCATAACACTTTAAAGAAAAATATACCAGCTTGGAAAGAGGGCCATAGTTGGGAATCTCTTGTGGATTCTGTTTATGGTGTTGATACTACCAAGGACTAGAGACCATAGAAAGATTCTACAATCTTTGCTTTTACTCCAAAGAAAAGGAAGCCTATAGAGATTTAACCAATAAACACCCAACCTTCTCCAAGGTTCCAAACCAATCTAACCAACAAAGGATTGAAAATCCTACTGTTTATTACACAGAAGAGACATTCCAGTTTATTGTATCTCTTTTTGATTGGCCTTCAAAAATTGATAGCCCGGCCACCACCAATCCCCCCACCCCCACCAGTTTGGGTGTCCCAAAGCTCACAAGTCCAACTGCCTAGCGGAAAAACTTAGCCTTTGAAAACATTCTCTAGAAAGCATCTGCCCAACAAATCCTCAAGCAAAAAGGGTTATTACCATCACCAGTTCTCAGAGAAATATGGTTGCAAAAGAGATCTTTTAAGCTTTAGAATGCTAAACTAAGGACTTCTGAGCTGGTAAATCTCTTCCCTATTACCTAGCTTGTTAGCTCGAATCACATTTTGTTGGGACCTCCGTAGCATTACCAAATCGGAGAGGACTCTGTTGCTATCCTTGATTTTGACTAAACTAAGGTCTAAGATTTCAGTTGCTACGATGAGACAACCAAAATAACATATCTTGCCTGGTTGGATAGATCCAGATAATGTGAAATGATGAGTTGGTTATTAGTTTTATAATTAATAGTTCAGATTATTCGTGGTCTGATGCTTTTTATTTTTAATCCTAACCTTAAAAAAATTGACGAGTTGCACACTAAACATAGCAGTTATATCGAATGATTAGTTTCATTTTTATTTAACTTTATAAAATTGCTCATTTTCTATTTAAACGAAAAGGATTGTTTCATCCTTTATTGGACTATCATTGAATAAAATGTAAACACAAGTCTTGTAGTTTATGCATGTGCCCTTCTTCATCAGGGTCTTTTCAAAGAAAGTTACGGACCATTTTTTTAATTGTTGCACGAATGGAAGATAGGTAATAGGGAAGGATAACAGGGCAACCCCATATGGCGCAGAATCTTTTGCTTCATCCATAGTAATATTGATGCCCATCGTGGCAGATTGACTCAGGTTTATTTTAAGGCCAGAGGCGGCTACAAATGCCTTGACGATCATGAGTAATTGGCCACTACAGATTCCATTTCACAATTGTATATTGAAGCTACTAAAAATATTGTAAATATACATTAGTAATAGATGATATAATACATGTATGGAAAGAAATTGAATGCTGGTGAAACATGAAAACCAATAGAAACAAAGATATGCTGATTGTAGATCACCTCAACTTCTGTCCAATCTTTTAGACCGCCCCAGGCCTCTTGTGATTGCCTCACTGTCTCAGTTAGTAATCTGGAAACACAAGGAAAATTTAGCTTAGCTATGGTAAGCAAGAACACAAACTTTGAAAGTAAGGATACCATTTACTTCATACAAGCAACCATTCAACTAGTAATGGATGATAAGATGTAAAATAGAATTCATATTTTCTAATTCTACATTTCTAGTATGCATTTGGTAGTCTATGTTAGTTACAACAAAACTGAAAAAAGAGTAACTATACAAGGACTCAGACTTGAGAGCCAACAAAGGCAAGTAACATCCTCCTAAAGAAGATCTCTAGACTTCTGTGTCAGCAAAGGTTTTTTTTGTTGCTCTACAACCAAAGACCCCAAAAGATGATTGCACCAGCATTGAACCACAACGAAGCTTTTGGGCTAAAATCGTACAACTAGCAAAACCTGAAAGACATTTTGTTTAACCGACGAATGAGAAACAGAACCAACATCAGAATCATCAAAGAATTGGTATCATAAGCTGGTTGACACAGGGAATGAAACAAAAAGGTGGCTTGCATTTTCATGCGCCTTCTTGCAGAGAACACACCTAAGGAGCATAAAGCAAAAGTTGGGCACCTTTTCTACATATCATCAGCGGTTCTAAGGCCATCAAGCATGAGGGATCATAAGAACGCCTTGCATTTATTTGAGATTTTATCCATAGTAACTAACAGAAGAACAGGGGGAGGCTTCAATGATTTAACAGAGAGTAATTCACTTCTCTCAAAGCCCCATATTTGTTCATCTAATACAGAGCATAAACTCTTACAATTCAAAATGGCCAGAAGGGACTTCCACTCCTAGCTCCCTATCTCGAAACCGTCTTCTAAACAACAACATCCAAGCTTTTGACTTCTAATCCCATACTTCATAGGAGTGACCATATTTCTGTGTAGAAATAGAATAAATTCTAGGAACTCAATCCTTGAAGCTGCCACCCTATACCAATCGTTTAATCAAAAGAAAGAACTGGACCCATCTCCAGTCCAAATAAAGGTTGAATCTAAGGAAGATGTGTCTCTATTTCAGAATACTAAACCATGGGTTCGAGAGCTGCAAATCTCCAGTCCAAGATACAAACCCCCAAAAGAGTGAAAAAGAAAGAAAAAGATAAAAATACAATGTACCTCAATGGGAGATATAAACACATCCCAATTTGAACAAATACAAGTAGAAGAATAATGCTCAAATAAATCCAAAAGTGAACACCATCGAGAGGTTTTGAACTTAGCTAGAAGTTGTATCTCTCAAACCATCAAACGAATATTTGCTTTTGCCTCCAAAAGTCCTCTGGTTCCTTTCAAACCATAATTCTAATAATATGGCTTTAATAGCATTAACCCATAATAAATGAGGCTAGAGCGTTCTTTTGATGAAACGGAGATAAGGTCAGCACTAGAAGATCTTGGCAAAAATAAAGCTCCGGGTCCAGATGGATTTACATCTGAATTTTTTGTACGGTTTTGACAGCTTTTAAAAGCTGATTTTATTCGGCTGTTTAAGGAATTTCATGATAACGACATTATTAATGCCTGCCTAAAGGAGAATTTCATTTGCCTTATTCCAAAAAAGACAAAGGTGGACAGAATCCGAGATTATAGACCAATTAGCCTATGTTCTTCTATTTATAAGTTACTGGCTAAAGTCTTAACAGAACGTCTTAAAAAGGTTATGCACTCCACAATATCGATCAATCAAAGTGCATTCATTGAAGGAAGGAATATCCTTGACCCAATTTTAATTGCCAATGAACCAGTGGAAGACTATAAGGCTCGAAAACGCAGTGGATGGTTGTTAAAGTTAGACCTAGAAAAGGAATTTGATAAAGTTGATTGGGACTTTCTGGATGATGTTCTTAAACAAAAACAGTTTGGGAAGAAATGGCGTAGAAGGATCGATGGTTGTGTGCGGGGAACTAAATTCTCCATCTTTATCAATGGAAGGCCAAGGGGTCGAATTTCAGCCACTAGGGGATTGAGGCAAGGTGATCCCCTTTCACCTTTTCTCTTTCTGTTAGTAGGGGACGTCTTCAGCAGTATTTTGGACAGCATTCATTCAGGAGGTTTCAATGAAGGGTTCGTGGTTGGCAAGGACAAAGTCCATATCTCCCATTTGCAATTCGCAGATGATATTCTCATTTTCTGCAAAGATAATGACAAAATGTTGGACAACCTTATTCAGGCCATTAAAACTTTTGAAAGAATGTCAGGTTTCTCTGTCAATTGGGGAAAGTCGGCGATTTGTGGTATTAATTTGCAAACTGAAAAAGTTAGAAAAAGGGCAGAATTTTTTAATTGTCTGACTGCCTCTCTTCCACTTCTATATTTAGGAATTCCTTTGGGTGGCAACCCGAGATCAGCAGCATTTTGGAGCCCTATTGTGGAGAAAATTGAAAAGAAATTGGACAGATGGAATCGGTATCAACTATCGAGAGGAGGTCGTTTAAYGCTTTGTAAGTCTGTCCTTTCTAATTTGCCTCTCTATTATATGTCCTTATATCAAATGCCAGCGGGAGTTTGTAAACAAATTGAGAAGAAAATGAGGTCTTTTTTGTGGAAGAGTGGCGCTTCAGGGGCTCTAAATCATCTGGTAAACTGGAATGTGGTATCTAAACTTTTGGAGGATGGCGGTTTGGTATTGGAGGTCTTTCCAAGCAAAACAGTGCCCTGTTAGCTAAATGGGGTTGGAGATTCGGCTGTGAACCGCATGCCTTATGGCGAAAGGTGATAGAAAGTTTGTATGGTTCCTCTGAGTTAGGTTGGTCTTCCGGTTATATGTTAAATGGCTGCCTTAGAAGACCTTGGATCAACATCTATCGCCAATGGAGCCATTGGAATCAGTTTGCGGTTTTTAAGCTTGGGTTAGGAGATAGCATCCTGTTTTGGACTCATAAATGGATTGAAAATCAGCCCTTAAAGGATAGATTCTCAAAGATCTATCAAATCTCCACCAATACTTTCGGATCAGTAGTTGAGTTTTGGGATGTACAGAAACCCTATCTTGGAGAATTTCTACAAGACGAGCTCTAAAAGATGATGAAATAGATGAGTTCAGTGCACTTTTATATCTTATGCATTCTCATTCTCCTTCCAATGAATTGGATAGGAGGCTTTGGTCACTTGAACCTTCGGGTATGTTTTCTGTTGCATCAATCAGTAAACTATGTAGTGCTTCTTCAATGCCAAAGGCCTTATTTAAAGCTATCTGAAAATCCAAAAGTCCTAAAAAGGTCAGCTTTCTCATTTGGATATTAATTTATGGAAAAGTTAATACTAATGAAGTTTTGCAAAAGAAGCTTCCCAACTTCAGTCTGCTGCCATCCATTTGTGCATTATGTCAGTCCAATGAGGAGAATACGGTGCATTTGTTCTTCTTCTGCTCCTATGCTAGATATTGTTGGAATTCTTTGTTTGAGGAATTCAACATGGTTTGGGCTTTTGGCAACAATGTGTCTGACAACTTGTTTTTAACCCAAAAGCCTCTTTATTATGGATCAATGCAGTCAAGGCAGTGGTGTACGAAGTTTGGTACAAAAGAAATCTTAGAACCTTTGAAGGAAAGAAGCAGTCCCCTGCGGTTCGTCTTGACATCGCTAGATTTAAAGCTTCTCAATGGAGATCTCTATCTCCTTTATTTAAATCTTATTCCCCTAGTCTGATTTGCATGAATTGGAATGTTTTTATGGCAGTTTTTTAAGTTTTAGTTTATTTTTGTTTCATTTCAATTTTCACTCTTTCGAGAGTTCGTATCCTTGAACATTTTGTTCCTTTTCATTATCTTAATGAGAAGTTCGTATCTTGTTCAAAAAAAAAATGGGGCTTGGAAGGAAACGGTCGACTGAAGAGTAGTTGAGATAAATTTCTTTTAACATCTATGCAAAAACCCAATGAGGGTTCAATTGTTGAAATAAGAAACTCCAACAGACCATTGCAAATGAACATTGGAAGAAAAGAGAACTTGACTTTCACGACTAGCGCCACATAAAACACATATTGAAGGTTGAAGAGCCGTATTGGGTGGAAAGTTTCTTCTAATGGACTTCAGCCATATTCACTTTTCCATAGAGAAGGATCCAAGCCAACACACAAACTTTCTTTGGGCTCTTCGATTTCCGAAGAGCTGAATAAATATCCTTTGGCAAAGAAGAAGATGAACTTGAAGGCTTGGATAACGAATTTACTGAGAAAACACCAGAGGGATCAATACTCCAACACCTTTGATCTTCTTCAGCCTTAATAGACACCAAAATAATTACAGACAAGACTGCAGTAAATTCTTCCGCTTCAACATCCTTCAAATTTCTTATAGGCTCAATTTTCCATGAAAAAGTAGTTTCATCCCAATTGTCATGAACAGAACAATGGATGAAGAATACACCTTAAATAAGTATGAAATCTCTCTTTTAAAGAAGACTCACCAATCCAGGTATGATGCCAAAAAGATATGTGGTTGACATTACCAATGTTTTTTTTTTTTTGAACAAGATACGAACTTTTCATTGATAAATGAAAATGAACAATATTGTTCAAAGACACAAACTCCCATAGGAGTGAATATAAAGGAAATAAATAAGAGTATGCATTAAAAGAAATTAAAACCATAAACTTAAAGAAGCCTTCTTAAAGAGGAATTATAAAAGCCTCTCAGTTCATACAAAGCATACTAGGAGAACAAGAAGAGAAAAGATCGACACGAACACACCATTGGGAGGCTTTGAACTTGGCGATTGAGAAACACTCAATTGGAGAACGATTCTTGCCTTCAAATATTCTTTGATTCCTCTCAAACCACAATTCGGAAAGAAGATCTTTTATTCCAAAAGCCCAAAGCAGATTGGTTTTAGAGCTTGCTCGCAACCCACTAAAAGCCGAAAAATGATTTGAGGCACCTCCAGATCCCACACCCATGAAACTTCAAACATAGATAGGAATTTTTTCCAACGAACCACCGCATAGCTACATGAGAAGAAGACATGTCTTTCGGTTTCCCCACTTGCTTTGCACATTAAACAAC